CCCGTGGATGCGGAGGACGAAGCCCGAGCCAAGCTTCGCCGTTTGCACCATAGGAAAGGCCAAATCCGGGAATACGTTAAGGAATTTTCGGATTTGATGCTTGAAATCTCGGATCTCTCGTCCAAGGAGGCGTTCTTTACTTTCATGGACGGTCTCAACAGTTGGGCCAAACTTGAGCTACAACTGAGGGAAGTCCAGGACATCGATCGGGCGTTAAAGGTGGTCGAGTCGCTTGTTGAGTTCCAAAAGAAGGATAGCTCCAAGGACAAGGGCAAGAAGCCGTTCCAAGGCAAAGGTGGGGGAGATAAAGGGAAGTCTTCCACACCGGCTAAACCGGCACCCGACTCCACAAAGCCGTCTTCGAGCAAGGAGACCAAGGGGGACAAGTCGAAGAAGTTCCAAGGGTGCTTCTTGTGCGGGAGAGCGCACATGGCACTTGATTGCCCGTCTCGTTCGAAGTTGGCAGCATTGGCGCAAGGTTTGTGCCAAGAAGAGGAAAAACAGGTCGCTTGCATGAAACGGCTAGACGCCGTGCATGCCAAGGCCGAGACACGTCAAGGCCGTCTTTACATGGAGGCGTCGTTCGCGAGCGGGTCTAGATGGGGCATGCTAGACACGGGGGCTGACACGAGTTATCTCACGGTGGAGGTAGCCCATTCTCTTGGAGTCACGTGGATGCCTAGTAAAGGCCGTTTCAAGGGTGTGAACGGCGAGTGGACGGGTCTTGTGGGCAAAGCAAGGGACGTGCCTCTTAAAATCGACAATTGGTCAGGTACGGCTAATTTCTCCATTGCACTTATGGATGATTACGGTCTTGTGTTTGGCATGGAGTTTCTAGACCAGGTGAAGCCGATCATCGTGCCTAGCAACAACACGATGGTGATCCTCCAAGGCGAGAAGCCTTGTGTGGTGAAGTTTAGGCGGGGAAAAATGAGATTAGCCCTTCCCAGCTGAACAAGGGGCTCTAAAACGGGGTGAACACACTTTGTTGCCATGGTGTTTGAGGAGACAGAGGAGCCGGCAAAGGGTGAACAAATCCCGCCTCCCGTAGAACGAGTCCTTGTCGAGTTCAAGGACGTTATGCCCGGTGAGTTGCCCAAGGGTCTTCCACCAAGGAGGGAGATTGACCATGCTATCGAGCTAGTAGACGGGGCGAAACCGATAGCCAAGGTGCCTTATCGTATGTCCCCTAGCGAACTAGAGGAACTCAAGGTGCAAATCAAGGAGCTACTTGAATCGGGTCATGCACGGCTGTCCAAGAGTCCTTGGGGCGCACCAGCTTTGTTTCAACGCAAGAAGGATGGGACACTTCGACTATGCATCGACTATAGGGCATTGAACAAGCTGACCGTGAAGAACAAGTACCCTATCCCACTTATAGCGGACTTGTTTGATCGTTGCAACGGGTGCAGATCTTTTCTAAGCTGGATTTGAGGAAGGGATACTATCAAGTGCGTATGGCACTCGGTGATGAACCGAAAACGGCCATGGTGACGAGGTATGGCTCTTATGAGTTTCTTTTCATGCCGTTCGGTTTAACTAATGGCCCAGCCACGTTCTGCACCTTGATGCAACGCGCGCTAGCCGATTACATTGACAAGTTTGTTGTAGCATACTTGGACGACATCGTTATCTATAGTAACACAATGAAGGAGCATGTGGAGCATCTTTGAGCCGTTTTCCAAGTCCTTAGGGAAAACCAGCTCTATGTTAAAAGAGAGAAGTGTTCCTTCGGCCTTGAGGAGGTGTCGTTCTTGGGACACATCATTGGTGGGGGCAAAATCATGGATCCGGCCAAAATCAAGGCTATCGTGGAATGGGAGGCCCCCACGAAGCCAACAGAGCTGAGATCGTTCTTGGGGCTTGTTAATTACTATCGGCGGTTCATTGAAGGGCACTCCGCCATAGCCGCTCCATTAACGGATCTCTTGAAGAAGGGGCAAGCTTGGTGTTGGACACCAAAGCACCAAACAGCGTTCGAGGCTTTAAAGGACGCCGTCACTCGAGAGCCAGTCTTAGCCCTCCCTAATTTTGAGAAACCGTTCGAGGTGTGCACGGACGCTTCGGACTTTGCCATTGGGGGCGTTCTCATGCAAGACGGTCATCCGATCACCTATGAAAGCGGCAAGTTGAACGAGACCAGGAAAAGGTGGCCGACGCACGAGAAGGAGATGTTGGCTATAGTTCACTGCCTTAGAGTTTGGGAGCATTACCTGAAGGCCGCCACACCATTCAAGATCAAGACGGACAATCGGGCACTGAGCTACCATCAAAGCCAACCTAAGCTTTCGAGCAAGCATGCACATTGGTTGGACTTCTTGACCGAGTTTAAAAACGAGCTTGAGTATAGCCCGGGGAAGACTAACCACGTGGCCGATGCCCTAAGCCGAAAGGCGTGTCTTGCACTATTCGTTAGCATACCCGAGGGGACGTTGGTTGATCGCATCAAAAGGGTCTTGAGCACGACCGTCAAGCCCAAAGGTTCATGGAGCTCGTGAAGGAAGGCAAGACAACGCGGTTCTGGCTTGAGGATGGGATACTTTATGCCAAGGGGAACCATTTGTACGTGCCCGCATGGGATGGACTTAGAAGGGAGATTCTAAGGGATTGCCAGGATAGCTGTTATGTGGGTCACCCAGGTACGCATCGCACACTTGCCTTAGTCCATGAACGGTTCTATTGGCCTCGCATGAGGGAAGACGTTGAGACATATGTATGGACTTGTCTAATTTACCAACAAGACAAGACCGAGCAAGACCACCCGCATGGCTTGTTATCACCCTTGCCTATTCTAGAACGCCCGTGGGATAGCGTTTCGATGGATTTCATCGTGAGCCTACCCGTTTCCGAGGGTTGCACCAACATACTTGTTGTGGTAGACCGTTTGTCTAAGTATGCGGTCTTCATACCCGCCCCAAAAGAGTGCACCGCGGAGATAACATCCAAACTCTTTCTTAGGCATGTGGTGAAGTATTGGGGGCTGCCTACATCAATCATAAGTGACAGGGACTCGAGATTCACCGGCCGTTTTTGGCAAGAACTCTTTCGTTTGCTTGGGACGGAGCTCAAGATGTCTACATCTTTGCACCCGCAAACGGATGGGCAGACGGAGCGCATCAACGGTCTCTTGGAGGTGTACCTCAGGCACTATGTGGCAGCCAACTAGAAAGATTGGGTACGTTTGCTAGATGTTGCCCAATTTTCCTATAACTTGATGCGGAGCGAGAGCACGGGCAAAAGTCCGTTTGAGATTGTCCTTGGTTTCCAACCGACTACGCCTAAGGACATTCTTGGGGGCTACAAGGGCAATAGCACACCCGCGTACAAGTTTGCCAAAGATTGGCAAGAACGGGTCGACGAGGCAAAACTCTACTTGGAGAAGTCGGCCGCGCGCTGGGCAGATAAGAAACGGACCCGTCGCGAGTTTGAAGAAGGCGACCAAGTCTTGGTGAAACTCTATGAGCATGGACGGAGCCATGGTCTACACAAGGGTCTCATGCGCAGATACGAGGGTCCTTTTACCGTTCTTAAGAAAGTAGGTTCCGTTGCTTACAAGCTGGAGCTACCCGAGGCCCTTTCAAGACTTCATCCGATCTTTCATGTGAGCCTACTTAAGCCATACCGCAAAGACCCGGAGGACGAAAAACGGAACGTTTCCTCAAGAGCACCCGCTGGCGTACGCAAGCACTAGGAACAGACCTCGGAGGAGATCCTTTCTAAGAGGATCGTTCGGAGCCAGAACGAGGCAGCAACTAAAGAATACTTGGTGAAATGGAAGAATTTGTCAATGAGTGAAACGAGTTAGGAGCCAGTCGAGAAGTTTTGACAATTCACCAAGTTGATCGAAGACTTTGAGGAGAATCGTGCACCCGTTCCCATCAACATTGCCTACGAGACATAGGTGTATCGGGGCGATGCACCGTTTTGGTGGGGGAGGATGTCACGACCGTTTTCCCGTTCTCGGGTTAGGCTGTCCCTTTCCCACGTTTGTGGGGTTTGCTGCCGAACGGGTCGTTTTCTTAACCGGGATAAGGAACGGAACGTTCTAGAGCATGCTGGAAAACTCGGGTCAAATCCACGCGGAATTGGAATTCTCTGGAAGCAACCGGGCTTGGCTGGAATTGTGGGGGAGCTTCCCGAGAGTTTCTGGAACCTTCCCGAGGTTTGCTAGGTCGGTCGGAAACGGGCTGGAGAATTCTAGAATTCTTTGGAATTCAACACTTAGAATATTTTATGTATAGAATTCCCTAAAAACTTGTATATTTTAATACTTGTATAGAATTCTCTAGAATTCTATGGACTTGGAGACTTAGTCTATAAATACCCCAAGCCTTTCTCATTTGTAGGCATCCTTTGTTTGAGTGAAGCATTCTCAAGCATACTTCAAGCTTTCCGTTATTTCTTTGTGCCTACATCATTCTTAGCTTTCTTAAGCTTTCTTTGCCTACGTTCTTTAAGGCTTTGCCTAGCTTTGCATAAATTGTGGGTCTTAAGGCTGAGCTAGCACGTTCTCGTTGGTTGTTTAAGTGCTAGTGCCGCACGGTCGTTACTTGGAAGAAGTAAGCCCGTGACATTATTACTGATATTCATGACCCAATTTTTTATTACTACTTGCAATTCGGATTTAGACCCGCGGACAAAAATAAAAAGACTTTTAAAAATTTGAAAAATACCCCCTACCTATTTTCTAAAAAGTCTATTTCAAATCTTTTTTTTTTCAAATTAATATTTAGAAAGAACTTTAATTATTTTGTCCAAGCGCATTTTAAACTCTAAACAAACTTTTACGCCTTAAAAGTCTTTTTAAAACTCGTCCAAATGGAGCCTTAATATATACTACAAAAATACTGATTCCTCAGTTTTTTCTTTTTAATTTTTCTTTAAAATTAAATTTTTTGGGGTCCCAAACCCGTGGGTCCCATAATCAAATGGAAATCAGTTGAACATTTTAATATTATTTTCATCAAATTTTTTTATATATTTTTGAAAAATTAAAAATAAGCATTACCAAAAGTACCCTTATTGACTTGATCCCAAAATAGTCAACCCAAGCATATCCAAATATTAAGTGTAAAAAAAAAAAGGACCAAATTAGTGAAAAACACTAATGTAATGGACCAAACTAGTGAATTTTTAATGTTAAGAACCAAATTGATTTTTTTGACAAATGTAAAGGATCATTTGACCAGATTACTCTTGTCATAATTTGATTTTTTTTTTTTTCTTCCCATAAGTAACATACAGGTTTTCCCTTTTCAAAAAACATACAGGTTTTCCAAATGATTTATACGTGACGATCTCAAATGAATCCATCTGCAAACTCCATCCCAGTTTGTATTCAGAACTCCTGCCAAGTTTGCAAAAACCATCATTATAACTTCTTAATTTAGATATAAACACCATCCATGCCCACTGTACTTCTTATCCCTAAAAGAAACAATCAAACTGATATTGCATATGACCATTGATTGCAAACTTAGCCTAACGTTTAGAAATATTCAGAAAGGTTCAAGATTCGTGAAAGGACTACGATTAATAAACCTAATAGACAAGACAAAAGTATAATTCACAAGAGAATATAACTAAAACCTATAAGGCTTGGTGCATGTGGCGCAGACTCTCAGAGGAGTAATCAAATTGAGAATTTAAGAGTGACTGGCTTAGGCAGCAGGAAAAGCAGGGAGGTGACTTACTGACATTCCAAGTGCAACTCCAAAAGAACCTAATGTATTCATTAATGTCTCTCTGAACATAATATGAGGGGTTGTCTAGGTGATAAAATCTACTTTCTTTTAGTTTCAAATATTTGCTTGCTCTCTTCAGTTCCATTATAGGCGGTATATGTGATTTATAAACGATCAATGTACTTTGCATCTGAACAACTGAGTGGAAATGCAACTATCCAATACAAAATGACTCCTATCTCTTACACTAAGAAGAAAAATGATACAATATGCTAGAAAATTAGATCATTGTGGAAAATAAGTCGCACAGTAAATAATGGAAACTTTACCTGCTCAAGAAGAGGCAAGTAGTTTTTTAATGTCTTCCTGCAGAACAAAGTTGTTTAAAAGAAGATAAAGTCAAATGCATCAGCAAACTATTTAGACCAAGAGACTCAGGCTTCATCTATTACAGGAAAACGAGGAAGTTCTCTATAAGCTGCTTCAACTTTTTCCATCGTCTTTTTGATTTGAGGAAAGAGAAAAAAGGGCAGCAAGGTATGTAGCAAATCTGACCTCAATTTCAAGTGGTGAAGTTCTAGGAGCATATCGCTCCACAACCTTTCCTTCCTTGTTAATCAAAAACTTCGTAAAATTCCACTTGATAGCATTGATCAGCAGGCCTCCTTTTTGTGATTTCAGGAACTTATAGAGCGGATCAACATTTTTCCCATTCACATCGATCTGATGATATTACAGAAAAAGGTAATTTTGGCAGGTTACACCATGACTTGAGCATTATTAATCAAATACAAAATATATAACAAAATATAGCATAATAAACTTTCATGAATTTTGTGATTAGTGTCCAATGTTCTCCCAATACGTATCTCTACATTTGGTCCAAATTTTCAGAGTGCAAATGATATACTGTTTGTTTTAACTTCTTACTCTCTTACAGTCCATATTGGTTTCGTAAGGTAATGAACTGGCATAGAATACTCCCCTCTACGCCAACTTTGTCAACCTCCCTTATTGAAAGTAACAACAAAAGTTAGTACAGTTTTGAACTTTCACCGAATACAGTCGGATCTTTCTAAACTAATAAATAACCAACCGATGTATTGGTTGGAAAAAAGGACTCCAGCCAAAAGATCTACCCTCTGAATTTGACAAACTAAAATACAGAGGTAGTACACATCATATGACAGAGGTTTTTCTCTCTGGGCTGAATGCTTCTTCTCATTCAAGGAAAAGGGTACGTTTTAATATATTGAAACAAAAACCAAGTTCATTTCTTATCTACAGAAGAAATATGTATAATGTTGGGCTTTGTCAACAGTTCAAATGATGGCCAAGCGCATTTTTTATCAGTGGAAACACCAAATACTTCACAGTGTTTCCATTCATATTGCATTCCACTCTTAGCATTTGATCATCAGATTTCTCAAGCCAGGATCCTATCCAAAATCACACAGAAGAGTATTGTATGTAATCCCTTCCTAAGATAATTTATAACAGTTGATCATAACAAGATCATTAGTTCATGAACTAGTATTCAGAACACACAAATATGGGAAACCTAAAAGGCTTTATCATAGGGAGAGGTGACTTAGGAACAGAGTTAGTGGTTGCGCAAACCATTTGTTCTTGGCTCCTGTATTTAAACATCTCTGTTTCCACATCCCAGAGGAAACAAGCCTGTGCATATCTGTGATTACTGGCCCATACTGAACTTATGGTTCTTCAGAGCTATGAAATCATGCACTCATACCAGATTTTTCAAAAAGATGTTAGTCACGACCAACTTACCTTTTCAAATATGGGGAATTCAGCTTTAAACCTAGTACATGCAGTTTCCTGGATCTCTTCATTAGTTCCAGGTTCTTGCCAAGCAAATTGGTTGCAAGGAAATGCTAAAATTTCAAAACCTGACAGCAAAATATAGCAAAAGTTGTTATAAGGAAATGCCAAAACCTGAAAGCAAAGCAGATCATCTTTTAAATGAGATCTACAGATAAAATATGCATAAAATGAAAGAGCACCTTGATCTTTGTATTTCTCATACAAAACATTCAGCTCCTTGTAGTTCGCCTCTGTTAAACCGCTGAAATGGCATGAAACTAACGTGTCAGATTAATGTTTCAAGAGAGGCTTTCTCAGCCTGCGACATGAAGCATGAGGTAATATTATTTTTTTACCACGAGATTCTGTGCGGGACCAAAGCATCAAAATGTATTATAACTATGTTTTTACCCAAGCTTCTTTCAGAAATTATCGTTTCTTTTTGGTCATTTTCATATAAATACTGTATAGAGAACAAGATACAAACTTATAGACATCTTCTATAAACAAGAGTTGAGCAGAAAATAATCTAGTCCAAGTTATTTGATTTGAAAAGTGAAAATTGCTGAAAGAAGGGATTTCTTAAGGCTTAAACCTTGTCACACCTATTTTTTCTGGGTTTACCAGAAAACCTTCATCTTTGATCATGAAACGTTCTGCTCACATCAATCTGAGTCTTATCTTAAGCTAGTAAATAATAGAACACAATGTATTGTGAGAATTCTTGCATACAACATAAAAGGTAAAGCCAGAAATCCACCTCAAACCATTTTTCAGGGCAAACAATTTCCTCGAGAACTTATACTAGAAAATGTTTCCATAGACAGAATGGCAGAATGTCCTAGACATAACATCTCACTCAGATTTCTGAGAAGCTTTCAGTTTTAGGAGATAGAAGCATGTAGCTAGGAAACCAAGCGCAGGAGTATCAAGATGATTTATAACAGGGCATCAAAAAGCAAACATGTGTTGGAACTGAATATAGATTCAACAGTTACGAACCAATTCCCATTCTCACATGAAGGGGCCTGACACTTCTCAATGATGAAAAGAATCAAATGGATTCAGTCGTAACCCAAACTAATGAATTCTCATAACTGTCAACAAAGTTTAGCTGCACCTTAATATGGACGATCATGGGTGAAAACAATGCTTCAAAATGCCATAGCAAATACTTTGTTTTGTACCATTAACACAAAATATACTTCTAGCTTTACATCTTGGAAATCAAAAGCTAACATATGAAGCAATGTGGCTTGACACTAAAACATTATGTGTAAAAAAGAATTTATATGATTCTGCTATTCGCTACATGTGACAATCAGACAACGAATATCATAAAACATGAACTAAAAGATCTTGACTAAAAAGGTAAATGGGGACTGTACGTCCTCATTAGCATCATCTGATAACAGAAGCTACAGGCAATATACAGTATGGACAGCCAGACAGAAACGGTAGCTTGGAAATTTCATCAAGCAGCAAGCTATTTTCCCCTCTTTTCAGTGCAATAAATATGAAAATGAAATTAAACAATCATAAGAGCATTTTTTGCAGTCTCCCCAGCACTTTTCACTTACGAATATTCTCATATATAAGGGAATTCATCATTATCTTATTTGCATTAATCAATACTAATCGCAAAATTTGTAACAAATTAAGTAGATGGTGAATATTCAAGCTTGAGTTTTGTTCCAACTTTGTGCCCTTATACACAATTGGAAATCAGAAAGACGAAAACAAAATCTCACCATTGAAAGAACATTGAATTACAGATGAGGGCATACTGAGAAGAAGTAATTACCATTTTGAAGCAACATTTACGATAAGCACCACTTTTCCTTTGTAATTGCTAAGGGGCACATCATTTCCCCGAGCATCCTGTAGTTGAGATTTTATCAAAGAAAACAGAGGCAACGACATAAGCTAAAATTCTTTCCTAATTGAAATATATGATGAGCCACCTGCCATTTGATCCCTTTTGAGATTTAAAATGCGGAATTGCATCTAACAATAGAAAACCAGGTCTACTTTTGCTTTCTTGATACTAAGCCTGACTAAAGGGATTCTGGCTTTTTGATCAGTAAAAATTTTCAACTAAATATTCCTCAAAAAACTATTGCAGCTAAAGAAGCACAAAATCTGCGATGAGGATAAGAACCCAATCTGTCATCATATTTTCTTTAAGTAAACAATCAGAGAACGTCTTAATAAAATGAAAATGCCTTCCAATAAATAAAGAAACGGAAACTATATTAACCATTTGTAATAAAAATCTCACAATTCAACTACGATCAGCAATACAGACCCAAAGAAAACATGCAAGCACCCAAAATGAGATTACAAAGAAAAACAAGAAGTTTCAACTCAAAGTTCAGAAACAAACTAGTCACAGCTACCAAAAAAAAAAACCAAAATGTGCGAAAAGAGAAGGAAACAAAGTGAATTTCAGAAACCCAAAACTATATTCAAAGGCAGCAATCAGTACCTTAACAGTAAAATCACAAATAGTTTGTGGGGAGTCTTCAGAGGTTGCCATGGACAGAGATGAAAGGGATGGGCTTTTCTTGAAGAGAAAAACAAAAAAGGCAAGGCCAACAAAGAGGATTGAAACCCAGTTGATCAAAGGTAGAAATTTCAACGAATTCATTCCATATATATTGCAGATTTTTTTGTTTTGACTTCAACTACAGTTCGAAAAGACGAATGATTGGTGGTAGTTTTTAAATTTCAGGATTAGGTGGCTGCATTAATTGACAAGATATGGCGTGAATTAATAGAGGATATGGAAACGTCCATTTCTCTGATTATTAATTTGTTTTGGTGTCTTTGAATTTTCATAAGTGCTACCAGTCACCAGCAAACTGCCCCGCCATCATCATCAAGTAAGTATTTTCATAACTAAACGTTTATTAAACAAGAAATCAGTCAATGAGCATTGAGGAAGGACCAAATTTGCTGCTGTCTGTTCACATGATAGGAAAATTCTATCCTTGAATTCAAATGAATTTAATTGAGAGAAACAAAAAGCTGTTAAAAATTGTTTTAAACAAGAACTAGATGTTTGGCCTGGACATCCGCCCGGACGGCCCCCGTTTATTAATTTTGTTTTGTATTGTGAATTAAAATTATATATATAAATAAGTTATGAAAATTTGTAAACACTTTATTTTTTACCGCCATAATATTAATAATGAATATTTAAGAATTCAATTGTTACTATATGTTATTGGAATTATCAATATATTAAAAAATTATATGTCCCGACATTTTTATTTTAATGAAATATATATGACGATTATAGAGTCATGGAATCATATGTTAAAATTAAATTTGTATTATAATTTGTTAAATTTACTTTGTTAAATTGGTTAAATGAGAAAAAAACAAATCACACGATTAAATTAATATATTTTATCATTATATAATATAAAATAAGATAGAATTCTTAGAAGGGGTGAAATGTGAATGCCCGGATCGCAAAGATATACAGATATACATTTATATGTGATTGTTTCAAATTAATAGAAATGCTAAAAATTGTTGTTGACCAATAAAACCCTTCTCCATAGGCGATGTCTCCTTTGGATTCCCCAGGGCTGCATCTCAAGTGATAGCTTCTCAACAAACTCCTCTCATGCGTGCTCTCTCAAAACCATTTGCAGTTGTTAAGAACTGAACATAAATTACAGAATCTCCATCTTTCTGCAACAACAAAGATCCCCGCATCTTACTTGGTCAAACTGTTGGCACCATGCTCGAAAGAGATCATAAAACTTGTCCAATAAATAATCATCCCAAAACTGGAAAGCATATGCATTATTAATCTAACCAGTAGTACATAGGTCCGCTGGAATTCTAAAAGATGATTCATACATATCAAATTTGTTGTGCATAAGATTTCTTTTTCTCCTTCTACCTCTACATAAGAGGGTGAAAGACTATGACATGCATCTTACAACCATTAATTTAATTTTTTATTGCTAGCTAATACTTTTGTCGTCCCAAAAAGGATTCTCGAGTTTAGATTTTCACTATATTACAAATTGTACTGAAAATGATAATCCAAACTGGACTATCATATTGAGACAAAAGGACTGCTAATTAATCTTCCGATAGATCTTACTTAACTGCTTTAATTATCTCAAAACTTTGAACTTTACAATACATATTGATGATCCTTTCCTAATGCAAAATCTATACACATGTGGAATATTCATTATAGATAACTCACCACTATAACTACGACAAATAATATTAAGATCCTAGGCAAGGTGTACCTAGCAGTGCGTGTATATCACCTGAAGTCAATAAAAAATGGCCAATTTGATCCCGGTTTTCATGTCTACACGCGCATCATTTAATCCACAAATTTTTTTTTTTAAAAAAAAAATCCCGCAAAATCCGAATTATAATTACGTGATCACAAAACGTTATAAGTGAAGAATTTAAATTTTGAAACTGTATTACCATTTGTAATATCGTAACGATTATTCATCTTTCAATTATTATTTGCCTTCTTCTTTTTCACCAAAACTGAGTGATTTTATACCATTCGAAATACCAATATTTATTCTGAAAAATTATAAACGCTGGAAGGATTAGATTTAAACGTCAGAATTGACAGTAATTCCGGTGATGAGGGTTGTGATTATGATGGCGAAGGTGTTGCAGATGTTGTTGAAGATGTTGCAGACTGCGAAGGATCGTTGAATTCGTATAATGATGTTGAAGAAATCAATGATGTTGATCATGTTGCTTCAGCAATTGTTCTTAGTGATGATAGATCTTTGGTTGAATTCGATGATCGTATTTCTGAATCTTTGGAAGGTAATTTGATCATATTTAGTATATGTTATTTTTTTTCTGAATGATTGTTGCTGCGATTGGTAATGCGTTTTTATCATTAACTGATGAATATTTATAGGGTACCAGTAACGTATTGTTTTTAATGAATAGAGTAACGCAGGTTATGATTTTATTGATGAATGTCATGAAGTCAATGATGTGTAATATTTTGTAACTAATGAATATTTATCCATACATGATGAATAATTGTAGTTTATGAGTAGAGTAACATGAAGTTCTGATGAATAGAGTTTCACTACTGTGTCCAACGGATTTTGCACTGCAGGTTATGTTTTATTTGATGAATATCAAGAAGTTACTGATGAGTAATGTGTGGTTTTTAATGAATTTTTTTTCAGTGTTGTTTATTTGTTAATGCAACAACAAAGATCCCCGCATCTTACTTGGTCAAACTGTTAGCACCATGCTTGAAAGAGATCATAAAACTTGTCCAATAAATAATCATCCCAAAACTAGAAAGCATATGCATTATTAATCTAACCAGTAGTACATAGGTCCGCTAGAATTCTAAAAGATGATTCATACATATCAAATTTGTTGTGCATAAGATTTCTTTTTCTCCTTCTACCTATACATAAGAGGGTGAAAGACTATGACATGCATCTTACAACCATTAATTTAATTTTTTATTGCTAGCTAATACTTCTGTCGTCCCAAAAAGGATTCTCGAGTTTAGATTTTTACTATATTACAAATTATACCGAAAATGATAATCCAAACTGGACTATCATATTGAGACAAAAGGATTGCTAATTAATCTTCCAATAGATGTTACTTAACTGCTTTAATTATCTCAAAACTTTGAACTTTACAATGCATACTAATGATCCTTTCCTAATGCAAAATCTGTACACATGTGGAATATTCATTATAGATAACTCACCACTATAACTACGGCAAATAATATTAAGATCCTAGGCAAGGTGTACCAAGCAGTGCGTGTATATCACCCAAAGTCAATAAAAAATGGCCAATTTGATCCCGGTTTTCATGTCTACACGCTCATCATGTGGTTGACCATTGTCATGATCTTGTTCCTTTAAGACAGAGGCATTTGATTCGGTCTCAAAGAGAAGTTCCAGCGAATGATGTGATGCTTTTGTCCAATTTGAAGGATAGTGGTATTGGTCTTATCAAGGGTTTCAGTTTTTTGAGGAATCAAGCACGAGTTGTTCCTAACCTAGGCTACACCGTAACAGATGCTAGGAATCAGGTTGCAGCTCATGAACGTGCTAAATGGGAAGGTGGTGATGCAAACAAGCTGTTGGATTTGTTGAAGAAAAGGCAGGAGACAGAAGAAGATTTTTATTACAACTATCTCCATGATGAAGAATGTAGGCTTTGTTGTGGCTTTTGGAGGGATTCGCGTATGAAAAGAGATTATGATGTCTTTGGTAATTTGGTAGTTCATGACACCACACACAGGACAACTAAATACAAACTTGTTTGTGCACCTTTTACAGGAATGAATCACCATACACAAAACGTAATGTTTGGTGTAGGTTTTTTGTTACATGAGTATACCCCGTCATTTAAATGGCTTTTTGATGAATTCTTGAAGTTTATGGGTGGGAAAGAACCCACAACCATCATGACCGATGAGTGCGCTGCCATGGGTGCTGCAGTCCCTTCGATTTTCAAGAAGGAACGACATCGTCTTTGCACATGGCATATCGGCAAAAATTCGAAGAACCACATTGGCTACCTTAGGAACAAATCCGGTTTTATGGACTTATTCTAATTGGTTCTGAGGCACACTGATACAGTTGCTGAGTTTGAGTATTATTGGCGTTTGTAAGTTTCGTTTATTCATTGTTACTTCTTGAATTTTTATTTGAATAATGAATTTTTATACCTAGCTGATGAATGTGACGATTCATATTAATGAATATTGTTTTATCCTGTGTAATACTGATAAGATAATGCATAACCCATTAAGACAATGAATAATCATATCCATTTAACGAGCGTCGCAAGCCATTCAAATGAATAAGTTATATAATTATTCAGTACAGATTTTATGATGCATATTTGTTGTGAGGTTGTTGTGTATGAGATATTTTTTTGATGAATAACTATTCACAATTTGTGTTTATGTTTTTTTTAACAACCAGGATGTGTGATACTTACAATTGTTACAATGATAAGTGGTTGAAAGCTAGGTATGCCTCAAGAGAGAAGTGGTGCCCTGCATTTAGCAAGTTTTTTTTTCGGGTGGTGCATTGTCGTCACAAAGGAGTGAAACAACAAACAGGTCAATTTCGCAATCCCTTACTAAGGCTTCTCGGTTATGCACTTTTTATGATATGTTCAAAGAAGTAGTTGATGGTTGGAGGCAAAATGAGAATGATGAAGACAACGATTGCAATAATGGTCGCGTTAATATGCGTTTCCCAAATAGTGATATGTGTCGGCATGCTAGAGAATTATACACAATTCAGGCATATATTGTGTTTGAAAAAGAATTTGATGCCGCAGTTCAGTGTAATCATTGGTTTATTGGTCCTTTTAACGGTCACCCTGATATAGAGCTACATCATGTGAGGCGGATGCAAGTTGATGTGATGAATCACCAAGTTATTTTTAATGCTCGTTCGAATGAGATTAAATGCACATGCAACAAGTTTTCAGATTCGGGGTTTTTGTGTGCTCATTGTCTCAGAGTTTACATGTTTCGTAATGTCAATCAAGTTCCAGAATGTTACATTTTGCAAAGGTTCAGAAGGAATGCAAATATAGGGTGTATTGGTGATTCTTTGGACAGTGCATATGGGTCTAAATTTGATACCTCAGGTTCTTTCTTATGGAGGTCTGACATGATTAAGAAGTTTATCAGCCTTTTATCAGCTAGTGAATCATGTGACGGTGCCAAAAAAATCATTTCAGATACCATGAAAACATTGTCTAATAATGTTCGTAAGGAGGTTGGATCTTCGCCCGAAGAAACTGAAGAGGATGCGTTTGGAAACAAGGATTCTACAAGTTCAACTGTAAATATTAAAGATCCTAAGACATTGAGGCCATTGGGGGAGCAGAATGTAAGGTGGAAGAGTGCAACTGAGATAAGATCAAGAAAAGCTAGTACAAAACATAAGAAAGGTGCAGCTTCGAGGACGAGGAAGACTATATACAAAAGGGTGAACTCTAATAACCCTGATTTTATTGGTCGTTATGCGCACCCTCTTGTTTTTAGTGGATTTGATCAGGTTAATAGTCAAGGTAGTGAAATATAGTAGAAAAACGTTTGGTTCTTGTTTGATGTATTGATGTATTTTTTTGTGACATTAATGAACAATGAAATCTAGAAGTACTAAAATAATTATGTCTTGCTAATGTGAAGTTGTTTTATATATAGAAGTTGTTTTTGTGTTTTAAAGTTGGTTAGCGTGTTTTAAAATGGATTAATAGTCATATTAAGTCTAACGTTTAAAGTCGAGGAGAAACTGGTTTTAATTGCGATGAATATCATTATTATAATGATGAACAACAGTGGTTCAACTTATGAATAACCATATGTACACTTAATAATAAATGATTTTAAAATTTCTTTGTTCATCATCTCTATACCTTAATTCACTAATTTGTTGTTAATATTCATTATGATTTTACGGTTGTCTATATTGATCCTTTAGTTCAGTTCATGTTATATAGAATGTAAATATTATGAGATATGGAATGAAATGAACAATTATTCCAGGACAGATATATTTTTATGCGTTATTGATGAACAATTGGTTCCTTTTTTTTTGTTTTGGTGTAGTGATTTAAAACAAAATAATCCTTATGATATTTATAAACATAAAATACCAAAAGCTATCTTATATCAAATACTGTAAACCAAAAATAACATAAAATAACAAAAGTTGTTCCAAATTCACTAATCAAACTTTCTGGATTCATCAAAAGATGTCTTAAAACGAAAACTGTAAACCAAAATAACAAAAGTTGTTCCACATTCACTAATCAAACTATCTGGATTCAACAAAAGAACCACAAGAGTTTTAGGCTCTATGGGTTTCTTGCAGCGTGCAATTCTTTGATCCCCTCTGTGATGGTCATTGATTTGGTGTTGATGCCCGAGGTCAGCAACTCTATCAGGTACTTGATTCTAAGCTTATCAAGTTTGTTTTGATGTGCATCCTTTTGTCTCTGAAAATGGAATTGACGAATAACAATTAATAAAGAATAATTTTCTTATGTATCAACCAATATTATCAGTATAAATCATACGTATAATTATCGTTGTTTTGCCTATTGGGGGGATTCCACAGTTGTAGCTATCAACGCCCACTTTGTAAGTCTTCATGTGGCACATCATGTATACCGCACAGTCTGTTTTATTTTCACTGTTGCTCCATGGAAGATGAATAATATTTGGCTCTTTCAATTTTCTAAGTCTAGCATGTGCAGTTATCACCCTTTGTGAGTCAGCATACCTGGCTAAAGCTTCAACATGTTCATAAACATTTAAAGCAGTACTAAGTATTCATCATTTCAAGATAGTTATTCATCAGTAAAGCAGTATTTACTCATAAACATAATACATAATATTTTACCAAAAAATTATAGGTTTCCCCATATTTGGCTACAAACGGATTGATAGCTGTATCCATGTTGTCCAGCACTTCCACGCGGCCGTCTAGCATGTTGAACACATAGAGGTAATAATGTTCGTTTGCAAGTACAGGGACAAACAGCTGCATGTTTCGTGTTGTTAGTAAAAGTTTTAATTTGTATGAAAGATAACATTTCAACATTATATGATATTGATATTCATCAAAGAAATCATAAACTGCAATATACTTGTTGATTTGAAATCTATAACTATTCAGTTTATGTACTTACTTGATAAGCATTATCAAAGTTCATTAATAACCACACATTACTCATCAGTAACTTAATGATATTCATCAAACAAACAATAACATGCATTATACTTTTTGTTTTTGACATTATAACTATTTAGTTTATGTACTTACTTGGTTAGCATTATCAAACTGCGAATTGCTGATGTTTTGGCATTGCAGCTCATAACCAATTCTGTAAATTGCATCTTCAAAGCATTTCTCCAACGGCATCTTATTGATATTACTAGGCATTTGTGCCTGTTAATGAGCGGAGCACATTTGACATTAATATAAAAAATCAGATGCATAACTTAAACTGATAGATGATTATTTTAAAATTAGGATGAACAATCTTACCGATATAATGGATGAAAAATATATGTTGGGATATTTGGTCCTTTCTCTGGGTGCTAAATGGTTTAGGTGGGCTGCCCAAGCATCAACTATTTCATTACTTATTTGCACTCCAGGGATCATTGTTTTGATTTGATGACGTTGGACGAAATGGTATTCGACTCTGGATTCTTTATCTTCTCCTGGCATCTCAAACAGAGTTTCTCTACATATGATAGATGTAAGACCTAAATAAAAGGTACGTAATCAACAAAGCCTATTTTTTAAAGATGAATAACAGTGAAAATATCATAGATTGGCATCGTAGAAGGGTTTGTACATGTCGTTGTCATCCGCAAATGCGTAATCAGATACGAGCCTTTCAATTTTAGTGATCCCTTTGATTCCATTTCCACCATTTTTCCAGAATGGTGACTTATCAGTTATTTTAAGTTCTCCTCTTTTTTTCCTTTGGTCTTGCTTTTTCCCGCTGAGAACACTACAACAATACAGGATGAATAATGTTATGTAAATAATGATTATCCAACTACAACTGTTGAATATTAGAAGTGTAAATTATTAAAGAGAATAGTATACCTATCAATATACTCTTTTATCTCTTCTTCACTGACACTTTGCTGATTTGTGTTATCACATGTACTGTCATTTACCTTTTGTGGTGTAGAGTAATTAGTTGTTGCACCTTGTATGACGCTCTCTAAGATTTCCTTCTCGACGGTATTCAATCCTTCAGTCTCATTTGCTTCAGGCTGAACCACTTTAAATTGGCTTGCTGTAGATTTGTTTGTATATTTAAAAATGGTGATCTCATAAAGTAATGATGCATGAACGTAAGGTACATGATGAACATAACTACAAATTTTACAAGATGCATAAAATTTGATACATGATGAACATTAAAAATTTCAGAAGATGATTAGCAATTATAAGAATACCTTCAAACTCCAACTGGGTAAGCCCAATACTCCAGTTTGGTTTTGATGAAATCACATCATCATCACCCTTCTCCTGCTGCGTATTGGCAGGTTTTGACGATTTTAATGCATCTTCTATGAAGCTTTCGAAATTTTTTATGCATTCAATCATCTCTTCACTGTTGCACCAAGCATCCAATTGGCTCTCTGTGTCAATTCCTTTCCCCAAAAAACTGTCATTTTTTGCTGGCTGCTATTGTCCTTCATTTCTTTGTTCCCCATCAACATTGTCAGGAGCTTTGGCAGTTTCAACAACCATGTTTTTGATTGTCTTTGTGTAGTTGAAGAATAATCTCGCTAGCTCAGATTGGCTGCTAATTCCTGCAGATTTTGCTTCTTCAAATAATCTTCCAAGTTTTAATAGCAATGACCCCATATCATTGATCATTATCTCCTAAAACCTTTCGGCCAAATCCAGTTCCTACAATAGCTTTTGTAATTTGGTTACTAATATGTAACTCATTAAAAAAACATAATTTGTAATAAATCAATCAATGGAAATGCTATATTTGGGTACTGTACCTTTACATTCTGCTGTTGTTCAGTTATTGGTTCAGGGTTTGATGTTGGATCTATAGGCTTTTGGTGAATAATACCACTCCCGAAACCATTTCCATTTCTCTAGTGTGCTGCCCTTTTATTCACATCATCAGTCGTCCAATGAGCAATTACTGGAAATTTGCGTGATCTTCTATATTTTGAATTAGGTATGACACGATCCATGTATGCGAGCTGCAAAATGTTTTGTAAGAAATTAAAAAAGATGAATAACTATATGTTATAAATGAATATCAATCAACAACTGAAGAATTAAATATCATCTTGTTATTTACCACAATAAAGACTAGTGGCCCTGTATAATGCCCTGGATTCCTTTTCCATTCCAACACCGTGAACTTAAGTGTTGTAATGATGTATTCACACCATTTCAATTCTTTGATCTGATCTACATTTATCAGGGAGTTCATCAGCTGAAAACGACAGTCCGAAGATCTTGTTCTCCAGAATATACTGGATACAACTCCGATGACGAACCATCTTTTGAACTTATCTCCATATATACGGTCTGTAAAAGTTGCCGGGTCTGGTTCCACGCCTTTTTTTTTCATCCTCCCACCAACTAGATAGTTCAACAGTTTATTTGCTGGTGGACCTCCTTTGCCTGTATCTAAACCAAATGTTATTCTCATCTCATCAACCAGCCTTGTGTACTCTTCACTCCCTTTTCCTTCAACGTAGTCTACCACTTCATACCGACCTCGTGGTAAGCCCACTACGGCCTCCACATCTGCCTCATCTATTGTCAGCTGTTGGTTTCCTTGAATTATCACTCGTGAAAATTGGGGGCTGTTTAATTACGGTGATAAAAACATAACATTAATAATAATGGTTGATGCCTTTCAACTCATGAATATACATAAATGAAGTGATGAATAATAATGTAATATTGTTGAGTAATATATTATTCACTCGTAGTTGTTCAGAAGGTATTTGCACAAATCTGGGTCGTCAAACCTCTCAAATTTGATATCCAGAAGGTGCCCAAACCCGATTTCTCGGATAGCTTTTATTTGTAGGTCATCCAGTTTTGCAACAAAATCGCATACAGCATGGGGTGAAACTCTATTTAGGAACGGGTTATCTTCATCTTGCCTGCTTTTCCTCTTTTTAGGCTGGCCCTTCTGTGCTGTTTTGGCTTTTGGGGTACCTTCTGGTCCTCTGAAAAAAAAAATATATAAACCCCTCAATATACGTTATATAATTTATGTCAGATTGGAAAATTAATGCATAAAGTATCACAAATAATGCATACTGATGTATAACAGTTGAATAATGACATTGTCACTTATCCATAAAGATATATTACCTTTGTGCTTTAGTACTTTTCCTAGATTCCTTTTCTGTTCGTTGTGAAACTTCTTTTTCCTGTTGTCCAGGTGTTTTGCCCGTTTGTTGGACTCTTTTCCTTTTAGGATTGCTTTTGTCACTGGTTCACGAATTACACTCGCATGATTATCTGTATCGATTTGAAAATAAGGCATAACAAATTATTCCTAATGATGAATGATGAATGGTAACAAATAAGTATTACCTTTTTTCAACACCGGATAGACTCCTGGTCCGCTTAGTTCCCTGTCCCTCTATTTGTATCATTACATCCACTGATTCTGTACGTATTTCATCTCCAGATATCCTGCGTTGTTGGGGAGCTTTATCAGGTTTAGTTTTTTCGTTGCTTCATGACGGTTAGTTTCGGTTAAGCATTATATTCCAACATTTATTGTTAGTTTGAATTTAAATGCCAATGAATGAATATGTATATCCAATGAATATGTGGGATTAGATGATGAATAATATATTATCACATGATTTACGTTTTTGAAAAAATGAACAACAAATACACGATGAATAATGATGTTGACATGATGAATTTCGAACTGATATAATGAATGCTATTAGTATCTTTTAACATTTTATCAAATTAACCATAAAACGCTGAAAAAGTTAAATCATTGATGAAGTATCGTACTAAAAAAGATGAATAATTATACAAAACTGATGAATAATGTATAAATCTCATAATCTTACAAGAATCATCACATTGTCGACGAACTATATGAGATTGACAGGAGTTTAATGATATCCTTTTGATGAATAATTATACCCAAATGAGAAATACTCTCAGATCTATTTACAGTTCATCAAATCTACTAGAAAAGGCTAAACATGGCTATAAAAAGTGATGAATAAACATGTTTATTGACGAATAATGAACTGTAAAATGATGAATAATACATAAATCTTTCAATCTTTACCAAAATCAACCACAAATAGATGAAAAAAACTATTAAATTGATGAACAACATCAGTAATCGAATGAATTATCTTAAATCTACATAACCCATCAGATCTATTAACAGTTCAACAGCAGTGTTACCTTATAATTGCATCAGAATCCGAATCAGAATAAATGATATTTGATTTCTGCATAAAAGTTTCGGATAAAAAATCAATATTCAATCCTCATAAATTAAAAAACAAACAAAACTGATGAAAACCCTCAGAATTTAACCGTAGTTTACCTGGATTTTCATTTCCTAGTAACCACAAACCATTGAATTGTTGATACCCTCTGGTTCTTTATCGTAATTTCCGCCGCTGAAGTTTATGTTTTTGTATCGCCGGAGGAGTGAATTTTTGGTTTTTTTCGGATGTTTTGGTTTGAGACGGAATGGATTGAAATGAATAGGAAGTTGGGTTTGGGTAATGGCCGGAATTTAGGAGCTAATGGCGGTTATCGATTTTTGAAATCAAAAAATTTGCGGATTGCAGGGGTTTTTAATGCGCGCGTGTAATTCAGTCAATGGCATAAATTGTAAATAGTTCAACTTGCCATCATTCCGGGCGCGTTTCTTACACACTAGGTACACCTTGCTAGGTGTACCTAGGATCCCTATATTATAATTCCTATAACTACTTCATTTTAAGCTGAAAACAATTTTCCAACAGGTCCTGAGACACCCCACCTCAATTAAAATATTAACATTATCTATGCCTTCATTCATTTCTAAACTAATCAACATGAGAAAAAGGAAATGTATTTCACGGAGAAATAGTCACAAACATAACACTTTCCAAACTCAGCCATATGTTGCAACTAAAAGAAGGATGATTCCATCAATCCTAAACACCCATCAATCCTAAACATAACACTCTGTCTACCGGTCTTATGCTATACGATTCTACACAAACCAAGAAAGGAACAATGATCTAAACAACCAGAGAATTTACAAAGCAGGTCACAACCTATAAATGCACAAAAAAGTAAAAAAATAAAGATCAAACTAACCCGGGGTAGCATGCGTGCTGTATAATATTGTTGAGCCCTGACTTATATTGGATCGAACAGTGGATCAAATGAAAGGGTAATTATTTCCAGGAACCACTTAAGAAAAACTAACAGTCACACATCTAGATGCACATGAGCTTTCTTTGAGTCTCTATAGCTGCAGTGAAGAAAACACAGTATGGATCATGTTCCGATCATGTTCAGTGTTATAAGACCAAATTCAGTTTTACGAATCCAAAAGAAAAAACTAAAATTCAATCTTTACCTTTTAAGATGGGAATGAATGTCCACGATATTATATTTTGATAAATAATCTAAATTTGTTTGAATTTTGAAGCAAAACAAACATGAGCATGATTGAGATGTGGATTTCAAATTACATGCATATGTCAATCCTTATTGATGCTGCCCATAGGTTTGTGGAGCAGACCTTGACAGAGATTTTACTGTAAATCTGAGACTTCTTAAACTTCTTGGCCCTTTGTTTCACTATGTTCTTTGAGAGTAAAGGAATCGCCAAAGTTGCCTTTTGCTTATTCTTCCCCTGCAAAATATATAACGACCCCATATCAATAATTGATCTGCAAATTGGGTCTAATAAGAAAGGTGGCAAACTCAAATTTAGCAACTATAAGTTTGATGTTCTCCTATTGTAATTTTAGATTTGGTTCATCCATTATATTTTCCATCACTTTCAAATTAGTCCCATTTTTGTTGCCGAAAATGAAATTGTCACGAGAATTTTTAAACAATTAAAAAGCCCCAGTAGTAGAGAAAGTATAACACTCCAATTGTGAACCGAATCTAAAATTACAAAAGGAGAACATCAAACTCACAGTTGCTAATTACTGTTATATACACAAAATAGGGTAGTAAAGACAATATAGCCTTGTTATAAAAAACAACAAAACAAAAGCTACCACCTAGATCAATGGAATCTAACCGTGGAGTCTTGAAAAATAAATTTGAATCAAAGTGACTAAAGTATTTGGAGAAATCTCGTCATGCAACATTTGTTGATTTGGTGTTGTTGAATAAAAATCAAACACAAAAAAATTAAGAGAACACCAAAAGTACAATTTTTTTTTTCACCTGTTTTTTTAACCATCGCCGCTGGTAACCGTATCAAACCAAATTATGCATCGACTGGGTATCTTTTCATAAACTGTCAAACCAAAAAGAAAAAAAAAATTAACGGTAAAATCTTGAACAATAAATTCATAGTTGATTCAAACAAAACAAGGATTAATCAAAATCCAGAAAACCCTAGTCCTCAAGCTCCAAAAAAACAATCTTTTCTCAACCAATTTCGTCAATATCAGAACAACACCAAAAAAAATTAAAAACCATGATAAAAAAACTACAAAGGCAGAAACTTTATTCAACCCTAGAAACAATTGGCAGCAAGAAGACGAATTGAAACATGATGTTTCATCCATCTTTTAGCGTGAAAATTTTAATAAAAAATTTCAATAAAAACAACACTAATATAAAGAAATATAATACCTGATTAAGCACTGACCCCAAGCTAATCCGCTCAATTCAATTCTCCGCCATTCGTTTATCCTGGTAGTCCAAAACTGATGGTTCTAATTTGGACGTTCCCGTGCTTAATCGCCGCGGCATAGTCATGGGATTCATGTTCACCATCGGTGCTGGCAGATAGAAACATGAGATTGTGAGTGATTGCTTTTAGGATTAGCACCTATTGATTTTGAACACTGAAGTAGCAGGAAATTAGGGATTCCATTGAACCCAAGAATATCAATGAATTAGAGGAAAGGAGAGGAGAGAGGGGGCCGCGAACATAACCCTAGGATTGGGATTGATATGAATACTGAAAGAGGAGAGCCGGTAAAATATCCTCTCTGTTTGAAATTTAAAAGAAATCTCTATCTCAACTATAACATTTAAAGGAATGTAAATCCCTTAAAATGGGATTGATTTCGTGTACATTTAATTGTATTCATGTTTTTATTTTGTTCTTTTTTTTAAGACAGGACACGTGGCATCATTCTTTTGCAAAAGATGTATTTTTTAGTATAAGCGGAAAAAATTTTTATGTGAAGCTAACACATGTCCTGAATGTCATTTGCTTTCATGAAGTGTAAAGAGATATGATATTTCATAAAATTTAGAAAAATTTAATGCGTCGACAATTCATAAAATTGAATTGAAAACTGTATATGTAGCTACTTTTGAAAAATTAGATTTAAACAAGTAGTTAAAACTACAAACAATCTATTTCTTTAGATTATGAATAAATAGAAATTAAATTATTACACTTGGATGATACTGATAGAGATCATCAATTATATAAATTCATTCATATTGGATTTTACAAATTGCTTTTGAACCATTGACTTTAAAGGTTTACCCGAAAGTTTTATAGCTTGTTTAAGTGATGTTAGAAATCTAATTTGGAAGCAATCTTTAATGGGCATAATTCAGTCAATTCTTGCACATAGAAAAAACAAGTAATATCCAATCACGGACATACTCATAAGTTGACCATATAGAAAAGACTCCTGAAGGACATGTTTACATACAAATGTCAATTCATGTTAAATAATAACAGATATAATAAATTTGGAAGGTGTCTTCCACAATGTGAAATTTGAGCTCAAGAAAGGATGTCTTCAGAGGGTAAATTGGAAGAAGCCGACACATGATGCTTTTGTGCTAAACTCGGATGGTTCTATGATTAGCAATATGGATGTTGTATATGACATTTTGATTTGGGGAGGGAATGGGAATTTTACTTTTGAAGAGGCCGGATATTTGGGTCATGGAGATAGTTTTATGGTTGAAGTCTATAGTTTTTTGTTTGATCCAAAGATGTGTTTTGCTTAATTTACTTAGTGTAGATATACAGACGGATAATCAATAGTTAGTTGAGATGCGAAAGTCCAAGGGGAACCTTCATTGGTTGTTTTACTTTGAGCTCAAAGAAATACAATACATTATCCAAAAAAGAGGCTATCAAATTATCCATATTTATAGAGAAGCTAATTGGGTGGCAAATAGTTTAGCAAGAGAAGCATCATCTGGTCACTCAGAGATTTATTACAATTTAAGTGATCTTCTAGGGTACTCAAGACCTTTTGATTTTAGATCAAAGAGCCTTTCACACGTGAGAAGTAGATAGTGTCAATTGAGAAACCTCCTAATATTCACCAACTAGTGTCCTTCGTGAGAGGTTTCCCAGTAAGGTGGCGAAAACATGATGGAATTTTTTCGCTTAATGATCGCCAACCAAAATCCTTGGTGCGGACCTCATATTCATGATCGTCAACAGTGTCCTTGATGAGAGACTCAACAAAAAATTGGTGCGATCATGAGGCGGAATACCTTCAGGGATGGGTCATGGCTCTATGTGCAATATCATCTATTATATAGCCTTTTTGTGTATTGGTAAGTCTTAATTACTGTCAAATCTTATTCTGAAAATCATAAAATTGAGTGCCATCCCTGCTAGGTACCGTCTTGGCTTTGCCAACATATTTATATACTATCAAGTGCATCACATGGGTGTAAGATCTAATAAATAAGTAAAGGAACTTCAAAAAAATTTTGTGAAGCGGCTGGATCACGATATTTGTCCTTCTGACAAAAAGAAAAAGCCTTGGTCAAATTGGTGTCGCTGGAAGTGGAGAAAATAATATTCACATTTGCATTTAATTGGAAATTTCAAGTGCGCCGCTTGATAACGGTTCCGAAGTTTTCTCCCCGCGGCCGTTTCTCAATTTGATCACGTGCTCCTAGCCAAAAAGTGAAGGTTTGGTCATTTGAAGAATTTTTTTCTGTTGTTCTTTTTTTCGCTTTCCCAGCTAGGTTTGCAACTGACTTTGATTTAATATTGTGTAATTAACTTCTGCAAGCTCATGTATGTGTGAAATATGGGATCAATTGTGTCCTAAAGGTTTTTTTTTTTATATATATATAAGGATGAATATCTGTTTTTACTGTTAATCTAAAGAACCATTTTTGTATAGATTCTTCAAATCTTCCACTGGAAGCACCAAGTAGATTGATTAAACGATTTTCATATCATTAAAATTCTTCAAACAATATCTTTATTATCAAGTAGCTTATTGGGTTAAAGATGTATCTAGATGATACACCATTAATATATCATATGTTACTTCTTCAATTCTTTCAAACATTTTATGGTTGTACTGATAGTTATAGGTTACCTATAATCTGATTTATACGAAGGCCTCCAATTAACTCTTGAACTCGTCA